AGTTGTACATGGTTCACTAGTGAGTATACATTTATATTATATATTTTTTATCTTTGTTCTTTTTACCCCTAATGCTTCAGATAAGCATTTTGTGGACTTACTTCTAAGTTTTGTAAAGAGAGACCCATATTTCTAGAACCCATTGATTTTCTTGGTTCGGGTTCTTCATATATATAGTTAAAATCTAGATCAATTCAACCATTGTATGGGTATGGAATGATTAACTCCAATAACAGCAGAATTTACCCCTGGCTATAATTTATATGTGGTTCACTTCTCTCATGCATGAAGTTTTATTTTTCATTTTTGTTTTTTGTTTTTTTTTTTGCTCTTAAGAGTACTTCACTTCTTTTTGTTATGTTTAATTTCCTCCTCTTTCTTTAAATATTTCAACTTGTGACATGAAAATTTAGTAACACAAGTCATCAGCACAAGAGGTCTCAAACAAGAAGGAAATTGAACCCAACTACTATTTGACTTCTTCTTTAACAAAACTGAAGAAGAAGTCATGAAAAGCGATGCCTTTTCTTGGTGTGTGTGTTGGTGGGGGGGGGGGGGGGGGGGGGGGAGGAGTAGAAGAAAGGGTCCAAAAAAATCATCATGTTAATAAGAAAATAAAATGAAATAATACCGGAGCAGTAGTCTCCAAAGTTTGGAAATTATAATTAAAAAATGCTTAATTCCATGAGTCAATATCTATTCGACGGAACTCCAAAAGTAACAAAACTTAAGTAGAAAATCCCTTTATATTTAATTCTGCCATTTCAAGTTACATCATGCTACGGGTGGTTGTATGAGCAGCTATTGAAGTTGTACCTTTTGCGCGAAATTAGCCTGTTTAGTCCATTGGCTTTAATAATCTTAAATATTTCATAATTGTTCTGCTTTTAAATACCTTATTGTCAAAGGTCGTTCAATAAAAAAAAACAGAATGTCAAAGGTCGTTCAATAAAAATTGAAAATTGGTTTTAGGAAGACAGAAAATTTCCAATATGGTTGGTACATAGTACGTGCATACATAATTAATTTAATGCCTTGCTCGCGTAATTAAGAAACTTCTGTTGAAAATTGCAATGTGGACTTTGGAGCTGAAATTAATCTAATTAACAAATCATAATGCATAGATCAAACAACTTTATACCTTGTTTGGCCAGCTTCTAAAATTAGCTTATTTTAAAAGTACTTTTAAAAAAAAATGCTTTTAGTGAGTAGCAATTTGTGTTTGATTAATTAATTTAAAAAATACTTTTAAGCAGCAATTAGTGTTTGACCAAGTTTTTTTGAAAAGTACTTACGTTTTAGTTTATTTCTCAAAATTGCTTTTAGGAAGAAACTATTTTTCTATTTCTCAAAAACTATTTCTGCTTCTACTCAAAAACACCTTTTTTTTCATTCTAAAAGTTTGACCAAATACCTTAACATTTGGTTTTAAAAAAAACAATTTTGGCTTAAAAAAGCTTGGTAAAAAAGGCTTTAGACGACTGCTAATGCTATATGTGACTTCATCGAAATTTGTGTTTTTGCATTTTTCGAATATAGAAAGCTAGTCCAAAGAACTTCATATTTGGATAGCTGTTTAGTGTTAGTTAACTATAAGAGTTTTGTTCATTTTACTCGTGACAATTCGAAATTTGACCTATAAATCAAAATTTGGAGTAAACGTTCTCTCACTGAAATGGCAAAACTTTGAGAAATGGCATAGTAGTTTGAGTTGCGAGCTATTCCAACCATAGCTGGATGTGATCTTAAGCGTTGAACAGCATAAATACCATAATAAAATATCTAGATCAGACCAGCTAATGAAATGTTTAACTGATTAATTTCTGGTTAATTAACTGAATTGATATGAAAGTTGAAACCCGAGAAAATTACGAAAAATTTGACTTACTTGACTAAACTGTTGACCTAGCAATTGCGGAAGTAGAACTAGCAATAAACACTTAATTAAACAATAAAAAAGGTCTTGTATGGCCACTTACAATTTGAACAGAAAAAAATAGCATTTTCGGATATCGTATGTTAAGTTATTTTCAGATCTGTTATATGTACAATAATTTAAGTGTACTCAAATTCCAGAATCATACCGTATTTCAGTACCAAATACGGTATGGTATTTGGTACCTAATTAAATTCGGTATGGTTCGATTTTTCTCCTTTTGGTTTCGGTTTGTTCGGTTCGGTAACTTCGGTTTATTCGGTTTGAATATTAACTAGCTCATAGAGTCATAGACTGTAATATTCTTAATTAAAGTACTCAAAAGTACAAAACTAAAAACGTTTGTTGACAAAAGTTTTGTCCAAAACCAGCAAATATCAACCCAAAGAGAGAAAACTGTACAAAACTTGCTTAGAGTTAATTGACGAATTTGGAGAATAAAGGAAAGTAAAATTGTAGATTTTTTACATTTATATTATAATTAATAATATGTGCATTGTGTAATATAATATATATTTCGGTACGGTATCGATATTTCGGTATTTCATTTTAAAATACCAAATACCATACCTAATACCATTTTTTTTTTAAACTTAAACCAAATACCTTACCGAATACCAAATACAAAAATTTTCTATTTCAGTACGATAATTCGCTATTTACCAAATTATGCATAACCCTACTACTACTACGTACCTTTTCACCTTTTTCTTATCATTTGGTATCACCTTATTGGATAATGTACAAGTAAAACATTACTTTAACTCAAATATTAAAAAGAGATCAAGCGAACTTCGTGGTAAAAATTGTATGGGCGCCTTGTTTGGTCGCCCTCATACCCACTTTTTATTTTATTTTTAATTAGTATCCAAAGTTTAAATAACTTTAGTCCTTTTTTTCCTCCTTCTTCTTCTTTTATGTGAAAATAAAGGTGACAGTGAATTTATATGATGTTTGTAAGCATATTTTAAGGTGGTTTATAGTGATTATAGTGATGAGCTGTTGTGACGCTTTATATTTTACTACTGCTTAGGATTTCTTCTTTCTATTTTTCTTAATTGCAAAATGAGTTTGTTAGATTTATTTTTGTTTTGATAAATTGATGATTAGAATTTGTTCTTGATGATATTTGGAGGCTATGTTTCAAATTTGAGCTCATTTGGAATAGATTTAGGTGTTAAATCGTATATTGGATTGTTAAAATTCGAAACAAATTTATGTTTCTGGGCAATTTGTATTTCAAACTTATTTGGCCTTAAGTGCATGAAAACATTGATTGCATTTCAGACATATTTGACCTTAAGTGCATCTGTAATCTATTCACTTCATATTTGGCCTTAAGTGCATGAAAACATTGGTTGCATTTCAAACCTAGTTGGCCTTAAGTGTATATGAAGTACATTTTTTCACTTTAGACCTGCTTGACCTTAACTACATGAAAATAATTATTGTACTTCAGACTTATTTGGCCGTAAGTCATCTTAAGTGCAATTTTTGCACTTTAGACTTAATTGGCCTCAAGTCCATTGCGCTTCAGATTTTTTTTGTTTTTTTTTAAACTTCAGACCCAATAAGTCTGAAGTTGATCCTTAAGTTGATAGGCTTGTAATATTTTTTACAAAGTGGGTATAACTTCAATTATAATCCTAAAACTGGGTATAGATGCAAATGCCCCAATTTCGTGCACCGGTACATGGGCTTATGATCCAACAAAGCCATACGTATACGCTTGATTTCAGAGTTTAACAGCTTAATAGAACAATTATATTTTTCTTTATTCTATATATCTAATTAATTCTATCTCCTTAAATTTATGTGTAAGGTTTTCAATGATGAGGAAATAAAGTTTTAATGCTCATCTTAATTTTTTTTCCCCCTTTCTTGGATTAGGAGGAAGGAGAAGAAAGAAAAGTTCGGTATGAATAAATTTTTTTACTCGTACCATATAAGGTACCAGCTAATTACTTTGTTCTTATTTTTCTTGAAAAAGACTAAGAGGGTGTTTGGATTGGTTTATTTTAAGTGCTTATTGACTTTTAAACATCTTTTTAGTTTTTATGGTATTTGACAATTAGTAAAAAAATGTTTAAAACACTTACTTTTAGGCATGAAAAGTACAAAAATAAGCCAAAAGCCAAAAGTTGGGTATTACCAACTTATGACTTTTGGCTTTTAGATGAGAAGCTACTTTTTAAAAGCCAATCCAAACACCTTCTAAGTTTTGCTTCTCTCTTTTTTTTCTTTTTTGGGAATTTATTCTTTAAATTCTACTTATCATTTCTACTATTCTTTAATCATGTTTTTTACTATTCATTCAAGCCAAATTAAAGCGTTGTAGATACAAGATTGAGGTGATAACTCCTTAACTCATATGTTAAGCCTATCATTTTCAATTTATAGGTAATGTTGTTTATTTGGGCAACAAATAACGGACGGTCATTAATGAGAACATGTGGAAGGATTGCAAACTGACCTCTAAATGGATAAAATGAAAGTCCAGTACCAACGACTTTCGTACGAACTGTTTCTATGAGGTTGACTCATTCAATAGCATTTGACCATTTCATGTGCCATGGCTTTTGGTCTGCGCCTTCTTATACTTTTTTTTTTAAAATTCCCTTCTACATGTTCCCTCTTATTTTAATTCTGAACTTTTGAAATTAGTATCAATAATTCCTTTTTCTCCAATTAATCTAATAGTCTCAGTTGAATTCGATGTTTCTAGTCCCATTTATTATAAATAATTACCTGCAATTATAACCTGATTGTATAAAAAAGATTTAAATCTTAATATATAAAAGTTTAACTCATTCGCATACCGTACATATAACTTGAAGCTTTCAGCAAAATAGTTGCACAACAAATGAACTAACACCAGGAAATAGAATTGAACTTACTACTGTTCGCATAAGAAGTTACTAGCTAGTATTATTATTTCATTAGTACCTACAAATGTGTATTGAACATTAGTACATCACAACTGTAAATTCATTTGTCCCCAAATTTGCAGCTTCTACTATAGCAATATATAGGACTACTTATGTAATAGGGTTGAAGCCCTAGCTTATAGCCTCAACCTTAAGTCCAATGCGGAGCCTGAATAAGTAGAAGAATAGGAAGACAAAGAATCATATTGATCTTCACCTGATATTAATGTAACAGGAGGAGGAAAGTTTAGATCCAAATTAGTAGTAATATGATCATGTGCATTAGGGTTTAGAATAAGAGGAGCTTGGGTTAATCCTGAACCTGAACCTGATGCGAAACAACCTTTAACATTTTTGTGACTAGCCTTGTGTCCACCTAAAGCCTGATGTGATCCAAACACCTTCTTACAACTTGAACACTCGAATTGACAACACTTGGCTATACCTACTCCTGAAAAAGAAGCTGAAGGCTCTGCTGATGCATCCACATTAATCAGGTTGTCCTTCACAACATTCTCAGGTTCGTCGTTATCATCAGGTTTTGGTCCGCCATTGGCTAATAGTAACAAGCACGAAGCAATGTCGTGGTCCTCGTCTGTCATTATCATATGGGGAAGTGATTTGGGGGCTTGTGAAGAGACTTCATTTTGTCTAGGGCTAAATTCTGGAGCAGAAGTAGAAGAGTCAGCGTTGTGTCGCCTGAAATTAGGAGGGGGGTTAATGCCGCGCCACTGGCGTTCAGGATGACAACGCATGTGACCAAAAAGGGCTTTCAATGACCAAAATTTCTTGCCACACTCAGTACAAGGCCGAGTAATTTTTGGTGCACTTGGGTCTGGAGGCTTTTTGGTACATTTAGGCTTAACAACTCCAGAACAAGTAGGCTTTGTAATTGGGAATGAGTTACCAATCTTGAGGAATCTACTTCTTTTCTTCTTGGGATTATTGTGGGGTTGGTAACTTACACTTGTGACATGTGTAGTAGAGTCAAACATGGGTAATATTGATGGTTTTTCTTCTTCTATTTGAGGTTGACGAAAAGCAAGAGATTGATAGGAATTGGAACTAGTGCTAGCATGGTGTTCCATATCTCTATTTGGTCTGTAAGATGTGCATAAGGAGAAGAAGATTGACCAAAAAAGTTCGAAGAAAATGGCTAGGTTTCCTTATGTAGACAGTTTGTGGGAGAAAATGAGAGCGGTTACCTCTCTACTGTCAGAGAATTACGGTGGGGCGGTTCCAATTTTTACCACACAAAATCCAATTATACCCTTACTTTATCTCCAAGGATCAAAAGCCTTAATATTAATATCACAAATCGGAAATGGATAAGCACGTCTCCCACTGTCTCCTAAACATTTTCAAACACAACAAACGGTAAAGGTTCAACTGCTTTTGCTCACAATCCTGCGGGGTACGAAGTTACCTCCACTGTGCATAATCTTAAATTAATTATGGTTTAAAAACATCATCCATGTGTTGAAAAGGAAAAAAATAGAAATGAACAAAAGAGGTGAGAAATAGAATTACTTTACCTTTAGAATTGTCAAATTCTTGTGAAGGTATTTTATGAAGAAACAGTGATATAAGTGTCGCAATAACCAATTGACTCCTTTAAAATTCCTTTCAAATTTAATGTGTCTAAAATAAATTTCGTTATCCTAAAAAGGAACCTATTAAATAAATTATAATCTACATAAAAATTTATACAGAGACTCATTTCTCTTATCATTGAACTGTTTCAAATTCTGTACTTCTTTAATAGAAATAAACTCGAGATCCGGCATCCCACATCAAAGAATCTGTAATTCATATTGTTAAATACTTGGTACGTTACAAGCTATTGAGCTGAACAACACTCACTCAATAACCTTTTGACAATCTACACACATTCTACATATCAATATTTACAAGGCCATCTACTTGATAAATTACAAACCAGACCAGTTCACCTTTGAGACTTTCAAGCCCTGCTGTTGAAGTTGAAGAAGCTAGATTGAGACTGCCCAGGGACAGTTTGGTTACTTGCAGTCGAACGGGGAATGTGCTGCTGCTGGTGTTGTGCATGGTGGTTACCACATTGAACAAAGGGCTGTGGTTGGGGAGGTAAATGAAGACGCATACCTCTATTTCCATTCGCAGCTGGAATTTGGCCTGCTTCAATCTTAAGCCGCTGCACTTCTTCCCTCAACGTTTCATTTAGAGCTGAAAGTTATTCACTTATATTTCAGTCCTATAGTTCTATTATCATATCAATATACTAAGCAAGCTCGGACAAGAAGGTGGAGAAACAAATAATGGCACTAACGAATACTAAAGTAGATGAGTCCACCAAAAAGGAAAAAAAGGAAGATCGTAAAGCTATGCAAGCAAATGATGCTATAACATATTCAATCAGAAAGATTTTGCCACGTAGGATTGGATGTCCACCTTGGACAAACTTAATAAAAGGAGGGTATATTTGAACCAATAGTATTACGGCAGGGGTATATTTAGACCCAAAGTATAACGAAGGGTATATTTAAACCTTTTCTAGAGGAGCCTTTGACATTGAGCTTAAAAATTCCTCTGGACAATAATTGACTCAGTCAGAAAGATTTTGTTTCAGTTTATCTAAACTTTCCAGTTCAGTTCTGTTCTCTCTGTGTGTGAGAGAAACAAATCCTGTTTTCTGGTTCTTTTAGAAGACCTGTTTAGGCAAAGAATAATGATTTTTCAGAACTACATTAAAACAAAGAGTTGAATATAGTAATATACTCCAAACTCAACAAAATTCTGAAGATAGAGCTAGACTCGATACAAAGAGCTGAAAATTTAAACCTACATTCAAACCCAGCTGAAGATTGAATATAGGAAGAGAGCCAACTGTAGTTCCACCATATATAATTATAAAATAGGTATTTGAAAAAAGATGTCTCCTCTGACATGGGTATAAAGGGTTGTGTAGGTGCGTGAAAGAGGAGGAAGACGTATGGGCGGAGGTGGATGGTGGAGACTCTGAGCATCAGAGATGACCGGTCTGAGGTGGAAGTGAAACACATAAGACAAAAAGAGAAAGGAGAAGAGATGGATAGCAGAGCACAAAAGTGACAGTAGTATACATTTGTTAAGAATAGCATTGTGTTTTACCAATCTCATTAGCTGGTCCAGTGAAACCCTTGTTTCTCTTTAAATGTGATTGCAGAAAACATAATCAGAATGTTTCTCAAGATGCTCTGTTTTTGGAGGATTTTTACAGAATTTTGTTTATTCTTAGACCCACCAGACACTCCTGCCCTTTTTCTTTGTTATATTAACTTTAATGCTCTTCCGTGCACAATTTTCTTTGAGACCAGACTATAAGCTTGAAAATTTATAGTATCAAATTATAGTAAAGGCATACCATCTCTAAGATGTGCTTGTTGTTCCAAAGCTTGCAACCGAAATTTGAGTTCTTTGTTTTCAGCAGCTATTCCAGAAGTGTCTCTCTGCATCAACAGACAAAAATAGCGTGAAAAGAGGGTTTAAAAGTTTTACATGTTTTACTTTGTGGAAATGACCCTCTGTTGGTTTTAGCAACAATGTGTTGGATCTCTTGAGAATGTTATATCCAGCAATATATTTATAATGCCAGCCAATACACATTTATAAAAACAAATATTGACAATAGCCTTTGTGGGCACACAGCAAATATGCATCATGTGGAAGTATCTTATTATATGTTAGTCCCGAAAAAGAAAATAAGAGCAAAGGGTTGAAAAGCACCATTAAGCCTTATGGCCAATAAATAGGTCAAAAATTGAGGTTGAACAGTAGCTCGCATGGTGTGAGCCCCTCATCCTTTACCATTTGGTGAGAGATCGAATCCCACCTATGTAAAATTACCCTCCCCTATCCCCTCCCCTCCCCCTAATAGTAATAAAATTAAAAAACAGGTCAAAATGGAAGCTTTACTAGTACAAACTAGATACTCATGATGCAGTTAAAGTAAAATACATACAAATCATTCGGACATCAAAAGAAGAAAACAGTAAGAGTAATAGAGTAGCATAATGATGCATTGTTAACAAGTGCAATGGTACAACTGCCGAGTATTAACATAGGTTCCACCAGAGTGTTGGTACTAGCAGCCACAATGAATTCTTCCTCTGATATTGGAAAAATGCTAGACCAAGATTAGACTGTGGAATAATTAACTTATGAAGACTATCCTAGACAAGAAATTTCGCTTTTTAGCACCATCGAGAGGTGCTTCCACTAGAAACACTTGATTGCAGGACAGACTAGTGGGTGAAAATGAAAAGGTAGAGTTACTGTTTGCACCAGCACTCTACAAACTTTCAAAGTGTAATGACCTAGACATAAGTAGTTTGAACAGCAAAAGATTGGAGTGACACTAAAACTTGAATGGCATGACAAACAAAGCTTGTTCCGCAGCTTCTTTCACAACATCTGAATTTGAGTTGAGGCCAATATATGATAGAAGCAACTGATAAATAATTACTTGGATATCTTATAAAGTGAATGCAAACCTAAGATGATAGAGCAATAGTAAATTCTAGACCCCAATGAAACAGTGCAAATTTCCAAATAAATGAACAGCAGTGATTGCATTCTTTACACATACCAGTTCTTAAAAATTAGAACACAACTTCATTTCAAAAAAATAAAAATTAGAACACAACAGAAGAGCTAACATGCAAACTAAAAATGTTGGCCATATCATTTTCATTGGGTACAAATTGTATAGAAGAGTCGACCAGCAGAAAAGATGCTTGAAACTTGAAAGAATATATGCAGAAGCTCCAGAAATATGGCAACTTTTCTGTCATAATGGGGTTAAAAAAGCCCCAATCTTGGTTTCCAAGTCATACAACAAGCCCATTTCTCACTTGTCAAAAAAAAAAAAAAACCCCAATTTTCCAGAACCAAAAGTCTCAATCTTTTCCACATTCAAGAATTCAATTGGAAGAGTGTTCAACCTATCAGTTCGAGTTACTTATTCAATAAGTTCTGTACAATGACTTACTCCACAAAAGAAAATTAGGTCATTATCATTGATCATACTTCTTTATCAGTTACTTCTTTATTTGATTGCAGAGACTATATGCACATTTTGGAGTTCTTCACTAAATGGGTTAGTCGATGTTAGGCTATTTAGTCTTAGCCAGCTAACTCCGTCTTTTCGTTTCGAAATGTTCCTCTGGGTAGTAATTTGATCGACCAATTGTTCGACCAGTAGTTTGAGGTGAAAATGACTTTTTCTTAAATATACAAACTCGGTGAAAGCAGAAAAAGAAACCATGTAAGAGTATGCAATTACTAACATATACAATCAAGATCAAAGGCATCAGGTGAATTCAGCAAATCATCACTTAGTTTAGACATCAAATAAAGCTGAGAGCCCTTGGTGATGCTGTGACTTTGACGGATACATACATTGTATTTAAGGTATGTTACTAAATACAAGAGGCTATTCAACATGTAAGATTACTTTAGACAACATAATTTCATAAAGTAAATGAATATCACACGTATATTTCTGAAAAAATTTCAGACCTGAAGAACTGTGATCTGTGCAGATAGAGTGGTGGCTTCAGTCTGCAGAGTCTGCACTTTCCTCTCTAGCTCACCAGTATAACGAGTTTTTCGCTCCTTAGAACGTGCAGCAGATTGTCTATTTGCTAGAATCCTGTAAAATTGCACGAAAAAATAACTCTATTTAAAGCTGAAGCTTGCAATTTGGTTTTAGAGTTCTTATCCAACAAAAGCATACTATTATTTTGAGAAAAGAAAAGAGAAGACCAAAAGTAAATGCTGCCATGAGATCTAATAAAGAAACAATGCAATTATGTCCTTTTGTAAGAAAACTTTCAAATTCCAACAACAATAACAACAACAACAACAACCCAGTGAAATCTCACAAGTGGGGTTTGGGGAGGGTAGTGAGTACGTAGACCTTACCCCTACCCCGAGGGAGTAGAGACGTTGTTTCCGAAAGACCCTCGGCTCAAGAAGACGAAAAGAGACAAATATATCAGTACCATCAACAGAAAATATAGAAATAATAACAGCGACATAAAAACCAGAAAATAGATGAAAAGCAATAACAATAACAAGTAAATAAGGCCATGTACTATGTACTATGGAAAACGGAAGAATAGTGTAAACACAACATTAACCAATAGCAATCTAAGACGAAACCCTATCATGCTAGCCTCACACCAAGTACGAAGTAGAAATTGCTCAACTACCTCCCCTAACCTACAACCCTATTGCTCGACCTCTATACCTTCCTATCAAGGGCCATGTCCTCGGAAATCTGAAGCCTCGCCATCTTTTGCCTGATCACCTCTCCCCAATACTTCTTAGGCCGCCCTCTACCTCTTCTCGTACCCGCCAAAGCCAACCGCTCACACCTCCT